TGAGAGTTTTAGAATGAAATCTATACCGTGAATGATAGTAGGGAGAGACAAAAAGAAACAAAACAGAGCAGATGAGCCAGGCTTTGCAAAATACTTCCCTGCCTCAAAGTTTTTTACTATTGTAGACCAGTGGTTTTTTAAAAAAATTTAATCCAGTTTCAGTTATACTTGTTATTATAGTAAAAAATCATCCATCCTCCCAATAATTTCAACAGCCTGGACTGTGTGCTTCAGGCTCAGGACAGGGAAACACAGACTTCCCAGAAGATGCATCACTTGTGCAGGTGTGTGCGTGCGTGCATGTGTGTGTGTGTGTGTGTGTGTATGTGTGTGTGTATCATTTTCAAATTAATTTTATTGAAGAAGCATTTGTAGCTCAGTGGTTACATACTTTGTAGTTGTTTTTCTTAAATAGTTCCCTGAGTATTTAATAAATATATTTCCTTATTCACATGATCTATAAAGCTTCACATGCGGTAATTTTTGTAAAGGTTGTTTCTGAGAATTTCACCATGACAGAAGCACTTATATCAAGTGCTGACCTAGTCTTCTTAAAATTATCATGTAAATACCATCTTACCTCACCTTTCTTGATTCTGTTCATTATTTTTTCTGGTAGAAGTATAATGAAAATAATCAAACCAAAATGTTTCCCATAGCAAAATTGTGCTTTAACTTTGCATGCATGATTAATCTTGAAATCATTTCGCTGAAGTATTTCATTCATTCACATAACTTCTAAAGGAAGTTATAACTGAGACTGATATGGACTCTGACTAGAACTTTACTCTTGTACACACAGTGCTTCGTTTTCTGTACTATTTTTTCATAAAATTATTAGATTTTCAAAATAAAAACAGGAATCTACTTTTGAAGGCAGTTTTTCCCAGTTTTTCATAGTGATATAATGCTATCCTTTGCCTTCTCCTCATATTTTTCTTTGCCTTCTTTCCTCATTTTCTTCCTTTTTTCCTTTTCCCTCTACTTTCATTTCTTAAATTTATTTTCTTTCTGCTCCCCTTATTGCTTCTTTCCTTCTCCTCCCCCTTCATTTTGACTTGTATTTGATAGTGCTTACTTGCTGCATTTTTTTTTTTCTGGAGGCATAATACTGCTATGTGTAAAGCCACAATCCACTTATCCATTCATCCATTGCTGGACATGTGGGCAACTTTCATTTTGTGAATGTTATTAACAGTGCTACAATTTGTTTGAGTACAGTCATATACCACATAGTGGTGCTTCAGTCAGTGATGGAGAGAATGTGCTGTGATGGTGCTAAAGCAATGACTGGAAACATTTTAGAGCTTTCAATGACACAAGTAAACCACTGTGGCAGCTTTCCACCACTGACCTAAAACATTATTTTGTTCAGTGATGTCTTAGTCAACTTTCTGTAACCACACATTATGACATTCACACAGTGACAAAATTACCTAATCGAAGTTTTCTCAGCACCTACCCCACTTGTGAATCATCCAGTAACTATACTTAATTATTAGTGTATCCAGAAATGGAGCTAACTGCTGGGTTATAAGGTCATTTTATGTTTAATATATTGAAAAATAACCACTTTTTACTTTGTGATGAATAAGGGTTCTAACAGCTTCACATAATTTCCAATACTTTTAATTTCCTGTTTAGTCAAAATTATAGCCTCCTATTGGGTGTTGTATAAGTAAACTTTCCTGACCCCTACAGTTTAAAGCAAAACACATTTAATCTGACTCATGTTTTCAAGGAGTTCAGTCCATGGTTGCTTGGCTTTAGGGAAGAAGTATGGTGAAATGCATGTGGAGCACAGCTCTTTGGGTCATGTCCTCATAAAAGCAGAGCAAGGGAAAAGTGCCAGAGAGGGACATATCATTATAAAAACAAAATATCATGCCTCCACGACACCCTCAGACACACCAAGAAGTGTGCTTCACCAATCCCCTGGGTGGCTCCTAAGTCAGTCATTTTGACATAATAAAGCTTGACTATCACAGATGTGAAGTAGTATCTCATTGTGCTTTTGACTTGAGTTTATCAGTGACTAAACAACTTTCACAAGTGCTTCCAGGCAATTATATTATCTTCTTTGCAGAAATGTCTGCAAATTTTTGTTCCCTTTGTAATAGTGTACTGTGCACTTTTCCTTCTGGCATATTCAATTTCTTTATAAATTCTGAAGGCACGACCCTTCTCAGATTTGAGTTTGCAGATATGTCCCCATGTGTGTTTGTTTCATTGATTTCAAATATAACATTTATTATTGTTAATAATACTCATCATATTATACAGTAGACCTCTTAAAGTTATTTCCCCTCTCTAACTGAAAATTTGGGTCTTTTAAAATACCCAATTCCATGACCCACAGTCTGTTTTCATGAGTTCAACAATTTTATATTCCACAAGTATGCTTCTACAATATTTATCCTCTTTTGTCTGACATTTCTCTAGACAGTATGTTTCACAGACTCACAGAATTGTTCAAAGTAGCTATCTTTTAAAATTTGTATTTCTTTGTTTCTTTCATGACAGGGTAATGTTCCATCAAATATACAGAATCTTCCAGAAATGTATACACACTTCATGAAAAGAAAAACTTATATAACTATTTTAGTACTACGTTTATTGAGACATCACGCAACATACAAGTTGCCCTTTGATTCCTACAAGAGGTGCTCAAAATGGTGGCCATTAGATTGTACATACTTATCAATACCACAAACCGCTGCTTGGGTAACCTTGGTCACTGTGACCGCTGCACATTCATTTTCAATTCCTTCTTCAAGGATTGTCAGTGTAGTGGGTTTTCAGTGATAGACCACATCCTCTAGGTTTCCCCATATGAGGGTAACACAATTTGTTTAAAAAATCATATTTTTCTTTTTTCTGAACTGTATATACATTTATTGGCAGGATTTCTCTATATTTATATTATATTTCATTTACTTATCTGAGAGTGGGTCCTAGTTTGAGCCCCTATCTTGGCTACTATAATGAAGCCATGCGTATAGGTATGGATATATGCCCTGAAGTACTGATTTAAGATATTTTGGATAAACATACAGTAGAGAAATCACAGGGTTATATAATATTTCTATGTTTTGACTCTTTGAGGAAGTTCCTTAATGTTGCCATAATGACTTTGTCAATTTACATTCTCATAAACAATGTTCAATGGTCTCATTTCTCAAATCCTTACCGATATCTTCTATCATTTATCTTTTAAGTAATGGCCTTTTAAAAGATGGGAAGTGACATTTCATGGTGTTTTAACTTGCCTCACACTGAACATCAGTGATGTTAAGCTCCTTTCATGTATCTGTTATCTGTAGGGATAGAAACCCATAGGTAGGGAAAGAAGAGGGACTCAACCCTCCCCACACTGAAGAAGTTTAGATGGATGGTTGAACAGGCTTAACCACCTGTGAAGAGCTAACAGCCTGAGGGTGCGTTTCCTCTTTATGCTATAATCAGCAAAGCTTGGTTGGCAAATGTTTGGAAAGAAAGAAAGAAAGAAAGAAAGAAAGAAAGAAAGAAAGAAACAAACAAACAAACAAACCTGACCCTAAAGTGTGAAAAGCCCCCCCAAAGACCTTTAACTATCTTCCCTAGTAAGGAGCAAATCCACCAATCAAGTATGAGCACCCTCAGTCCAGGGACAGGATAGGCCCCCAACTACTATAAAGTAACACTTCAAGCCCCCTTAAATTGTGGCTCCATTTTGGTCAGTCCTGCTTGTTTCCCTGAGAGAAGGCAGCTGTACTCTTGCATGCTTGCTGAATAAAAGTACAAACTTGTTCTCTATCTGATTTTTCCACAACTTCCCACAACATTGAGAGAGTTAGGCTTGGAATTGAGGGGTCTCTTCACCAGTCTCTGCCCATGAAATATCTATTTGTACTTCTTTTTTTTTTTGAGATATGTCAATAGAGGTACTATGTCTAGCTTTCAATCTAGTTATTTCTTTTCTTAGTGTTGAGTTGTCTGAATTCTAAAAATCGGGACATCTTTTGACTACCTGATGTATGATTTAATAATATATTTTCAATCTCAGGATTTCTCATTTTTAGCATCGCTTCTTTTGCCACATGGCATCATTTAAATCTGAAGCCATTTTATTTTGCTGTATTGGTTTTTATTGCCTCAAGCTTTTTCTTTGGGTTTCCTCTAGTAATCTTACACTTTCATGAGTTACATGTAACTGTTTAATTCATTTTGAATTGCTTTCTGTGTACAGTGTAAAATAAGTGTCTAATTTCATTTTTCTTTATGCAGCGTCCTGCCCCCATCATTAATGGAAGAGTTTATCCTTTTGCCATGATGTATGCCTGGAACCATGGTACAACATCCAACATCAGTTAATCACAAACTTGTGAATTTATGTCATGGCTCACTATCCCATTCCACTGTTTCATTCCAGTTTTCATGTCAGTACCATGTACTGTGTCCTTCATAATATCTTTTGATGTGTTAGATCCACAATTCTGATGAAATTCAAATTGTGTGTTATTTGTGTTTTGCTCTAGCTTTCAGTGTCACATCCCAAGCATGTATCGCTCCTTTTAAGGGTAATGAAGATATTCTTCAGTTTTAATCTGTACATTTTGTGATTTTAGCTATTTGTAAGCTGTTGATTTACATTTATAATAAATTATGTTGAAGATATAAACTACATGTGAATTTTTTTCTTTATGTACAATTTGTATTCAAGAAGTTTCTTTTCTTAAACTTTTTTTAAAAATATTTAATTGATATATAAAAGTGTACATATGTGTACTATAGAGTGTATAATATGTTGTACAATATATCAAAACATATATAATGTGCACTGAATATATTAGGGTAACTGACAAATATGTATCCTGAAATA